TTTTGGGAGCTACTGATTAACACAGACTCTCAGGTTACAGATTTACAGATTTACAGATTTACAATGCAACAAAGGAATATATGAGCGATGTAAAATGTGCAATACTGTCTATCCACTATCATTAATTTACAGTGGAGATGTTCAAAGTGTGCATTGTTGTAGTACTCCTACGCGTACAGGAGATACTGGCAAAATGCTTCCATTATTTTGGAGAAATATGGCTATATTTGTAATTATAATTAAACATTTGTAAACAATTGCATGTGAATAGATTCTTACTGGACAAATGACCAATGGTCCATTGTTTCAGCAGTGATTAAGAAATGGCATGCATCATGTAAACAGTTCAACCATGCAAACAAAGTTGTTGTAATGTTTGCAGTCTTAGACAGTTCCCAAAAAGCCAACACATTCTCACTCCGACCTCACCACATATTGACGTTTTTGTCCTGGCCCACCCACATCAAGATATGATGTGCAAAGTACCCCGGGTGCTTTGGTTGTTGATGGTCTGGGACGCCGTGTCAAGTTCTGCTTGTTACATGCATTGTGTGTTATCAAAGTAAACCTCCATTTTCACAGGAAATGTACAGTTTGCGTACAGTCCCTTTCAAAATAAATGCACTATGTCAGTGCAACACCATGAACTAATGTTTTTTTCCTTCAGCAACAAATGCACATGGTTACGTTTTGCCAACACATGCATGTGTGGATTTAGGCAACAAAAGCATGTGGTTGGGTTTATGAAAAAACAACTGGCTTAACAATCAAATGGGAAGTGAACACCTGCCTCCCGGGTGAAAGTTGGTGGTTTTTTGACCCATCCACCATCTGTCCTGCCTGCTTTAGGACTGTAATAGACTTGCCGCTTGATCGAACGTAAGCGTACACAATGCGCCGTGTCTGTGTATATACTTGCTGGTGGTCTCCACTTGGGGCAGACAACAGAAATATAACCTGGAAATCGGGTAGTGCATGCCGGGTGTTGTAAACAAACATGGATGGCCTTGATATGCTTGATGAGGAAGAAGAACTATGTCACTATGTAACAGCGTGGAAACATCATAGCGATGCGGGTAGTCCTGCACCAGGTCTATCAGCCTCTCTTCAAAGGTTTCCGCCATTGCTCCGACAGCGACTTCATGTTCATTTGCACGAGCGCCTCTAGCGGTCATGTCAATATTGCATCTTGCGTTGAGGTGAGGTGTGCAGCCAACGCATCAAACGAAGCAGATCACGCATGGCAGCCATGATGCGGTCACGTTGTTTGCAGCAAGTATATTACGGCCCTTACTCAGACTTCAGCCGCCTTAACTTTCGTTGTTGTCCCGCTGTGTTTCCCCCTGACGGTCAAGTGCCATTCAATAATAATAGACTGCATGCATTTAATGAGCAAAAACTGTTCAACCATTCATTCATTTTAAGTTGAGCCTATCCCTGCTGACATTGGGTGAGAGGCAGGGTACACCCTGGACAGGTCACCAGACTATCACAGGGCTGACACATAGAGACAGACAACCATTCACACTTACATTCACACTTACGGACAATTTAGAGTCACCAATTAACCTGCATGTCTTTGGACAGTGGGAGGAAGCTGGAGTACCCAGAGAAAACCCACGCTGACACGGGAAGAACGTGCTCCCCCACCCAGGAACCCTCTTGCTCTGAGGCGACAGTGCTGACCACTACTCCACTGTATCAAAAGAAAATAATACTCAATGACAATATAAGATAATAACAAAGATTTTGTGAGACACATGTATCTGTTAAGTATAGCAGTTTACTAATAAATCACAGCTACAAGAAATAAAGAGCAAATCTGGCACACGTTACTGGAAACTGCTTCACCACAAAAATTTGAGGATCCAAAGTGTCATGGTTGGTGCAACCCTCTTTTAAGTCTGTAACCCATTATGAGCGCCTCATTTAAAGTCGCCTGGAAACACCAGTGAAATGGAACAATTATATTTTTACTGCTTCTTTTAAAGGTTCTTAGCTCTTAAATTAGATCTCATCTGGCTGGGGTTAGGTCGTCCTAGACAGCTAGCGAGTAACAAGTGTTGTGGAAATTCATCTCCACCCAGGAATTCCAAGACCTGCCGACCCTCGGGGATCAAGTTAGAGCAGCAGGAAGCTCTGCTCCCTCTTGACCTTGCTGACTACGACACTAACCAGACTCCCTGTGACACACGCAGCAGCAAAACTGCAGCATGTTATTTACACATCTGCCAGTAATTATTTAATTCAATTCAATTATTTTCTTAGTTATTTATCATTTTTTATTGCTTAGTGTTGTTGGTTTTCTTTTTGTCAGTTCGTCTCAGCCTTGTCCTCTGTCCTAACTGTACAATAGTATAACCTCTTGAGTCCTTGTATCTTATTTTTCAGTTTTTATACAGTCATATGATGTATCCTATTTGATGTTGGTTATTTCTGTTAAAAAATATTACTGATCATATAGAAAAACTGCATTAATTAAGAAATGTGTACCCTATGGCAGCTTTTCCATCAGTAAATTATGAAATGCAGTTTAAATATTTGTTGAAACAAACAAATTAATAAAACATTATTAATCATGACATTTGGTTTTGTGAGGCACATACCAGTCCTGCAGTGATCTGAGGTTTGTGGCTGGTACTGCTTAGTAAATGAAATGATAGATGAGGGTGATTAAAATAATAATGCCATCTTGTGATAAAATATCTGTACTACAGTAAAACCATATTCATTGCATTTGTTGCACCATTTATTGCAATGACTGAAAACAAACAAACAATAAATAAATACAAGAAGGAAATCAGAGTTAGAAACATCATGAAATAAATTGTATACCTCATAAACCTGACTAAATGGCAACTGTGTATTCACTCAAACACTGATCTTACTGTCACAGTCTGTCTCTGTTTCCCTCCTTTCTTGCTATAGTACCTTTTTCCCAGGCACTGGAGGAAGTACTCTGATATTTTACTCAAGTAAAAGTAACAATACTTTAGTCTAAAAATAAAAGTCATGCATTCAAAATCTTACTCAAATGAAAGTTAAAGTAAACTGGTAAAGGTGGAGCTGATCTGAACTACTTTATACACTGCGGAGTAACTAAATCTATAATAATATATCATAATTTATAAATTGTTTTATATTGTATTAATCAAAATCTGCAAAGTAACTAGTGACTTAAGTTATTAAATAATGTATTGGAGTAAAAAGTGCAATGTTTGCCTCTAAAATATAGTGGAGTAAAAGTTTTAAATAGCTACTCAAGTAAAGTACAAGTACAGCAAAGTTGTACTTAAGTACAGTACTTGAGTAAATGTAGGGGAGACCGGGGATGATTGGAACATGGGATAAGTGTAACACTTTCAATTCTCCTATCAGAAACTAGCTATGAATCACCTGGTTCACTCTGCACTTGCTCAGTTTAGTCCTTATTCCTCATGTAAGGAAGTAGCACCCTGTGGCAGACACAGCAAGTATATAAGGAAAAAAAATACTTTTGAGGTAAGTAATTTTTATTTTACTTTGTAGTTAAATTCAAAAAACTTAAATCAGGTTTATTATGTGTCTGTGTGGATATCTTTAATGCAAGTTGCCCATACTAATGTTTATGTTAGCTGTAAGTTAAGCTAGTTCATGGCTACAAGAGTCTGGGTTAGTTTTAACAACATGTGAACATGAAAAAATGATTCAACCCAACCCAACCAAAATTTTAACACACTTGACTCACACGCACCTGACTCAGGTGCCTGTGGCTCAGAGGTAGAGGCAGACTCCAAATTGCTCCCAATGGCTGTTCCATCAGTGTGTGTGTGTGTGTGTAAAAACCTGAGTAGCAGGTGGCACCTTGTACTGTGGCCTCAGTCACCAGTGTTTGAATGTGTGTGTGAATGGGTGAATGTGACTCATAGTGTAAAGTGGTCAGAAGACTTTACACACGCATGCACATTATGTTAAAAAGTAATTTGACTGCTGAACAAAAAGCTTTCAGTATCTTTAGTTTTTGTCATAATCCTCAGGTCATAATGCCACATTTCCCCCTGGGTTATGTTACCAGTAAGGGTTCATTCATGCTCCATGTTACATATGGTGACGGAGACGGACGGAGCCTTCTGTCTGTACTCTGCATTCATTTCATCCATATTTGTGCTCGTTTTCTGAAAGCTTACGGATACGGATAAAATAGAACAGTACCACTGAAAATTGCGGAGGCAGTTTGGTGTTGTAAAAGCGAGATATGACAGTAGGAGACATCAGGGAAATTTAAATGATGGCGTAACAGAACGAATTGGTCATATAGTGAAAACATGTCTCCTTCTACATGCTGGGATATATATAATGGCCACACAAACCACCACCGTCTACAATGCCACCTTCATTAAAAGTATGAAATGATGACCTCCTCCACTCTCCCCTCGTTTGTTGTGTGAAACTTTTGACTCCGCCTTCTAGAGCCATCTGTAGACTATGCCATCATAAAAGATACACTGAGGTATGAGGGCATTGACATTTACAACATTTGAAACAGACACATCTATTTTCATACGTAAAGGGAGTATAAATGAGCCTTAACTCGGACTATGGGGTGAATTGTACATTTCACTCCTTGTATTTGAGATGAAACCATGCATTTTTCTGTGAGTGTTGCAGAGACAACAGCTACACCATTTAATAGCAGACACATTTTAAACACATCAGCTCAAAAAAGCTCCATGAAACAGTCATAAATGTCAAAAACGTTACAACCATCCCCGGTCTCCCCTACTCAGTTACATTCCACCACAGCCCCAGCCCCCTTCATTGCCATCTTCCATCCATCTACCAGATGCCCTCAGACCCGCTCCTGTCCCCATCACCTGACTTCCCCACCCACTAACACACCTGTTTACACTTTCCTCATTAGCCCTGCCTGATTGTCCCCGCCCACCTGCTCACCTGTATCTCATTCCCTCAGCCTCTCAGTACATATACCATTTCCCTCCAGACCATCAGAGTTGCTATGCTGCTTTCTTGCCATGTGGGTTTTGCATTTGAGATTCTGTCGCTGTGATTAATTTTTGGCAGCTTGGGTGCAGTGGTGCAAGCTGAAAACACATGGACATAACATCACCATATACAGTTTTTGATGTTACAAATTTGAGGTAATTTTCTACATATTTCCGGTTGTTTTTTATCTCCACTACTTGATTGAAAAGAGTATACTAAAGCAAATGTCACCTCAACCAGCTAAAACATGAACAACATCACAACATACAAGAGTCTTTGTGCCTAATGACTAATTTTCCTTTTGGCTTTAGCTGCTAATGAGCGTATTTCTACATTGCTGTATCTCTATTTTTACCCATCTTTGTAGTATCCTTTATCTGGGCTTCCCTCGTTTTCACACACTTGTAAAACGCAGCAGAGGTTTGAGACAATGGGAGCTTTTGTCAGCGCGCACAATTCATATTCACTCTCTTTAGTCTTGCTTTCTGTTAATCAGTCTTCAGACAAAGAGAGGGAGCAACAGCAGCAGCACACACCCCTGGGGCAAAAAATGAGAGATTCAGCCTGGCTGTCTCCCCCACCACCACCACCACCTCCTCCTCTGCCCCTCCTCTGACTACAACCCTCATCCCTCCCTTCAAAAACCCCACTCCTGTCTCTGTCTCAAAGGCACTGGAGAGATGAAAGGGAATATGCGATGCGCCGCCTTTAACTGTGAACTGTGCAGTGTTATTAGGGGAAGTTTACTGGCCTTGTCTGCCTTTTAAACACACTTGCTTACACCAGCCAGCTGTTTTGGAGGGACAATCTGTGGCTGGCTGGAAGGACGCTTAAATACCTGCAGATTACGCTCCATGACTGGATGCATGGAGAAAAACTCATAGACACATCTATGCGTCTTCCTGTGTTTGAATGAGTAGAAACAACTGTGAGAATGGATTCATATTGTTCATAATTATAAGATACTCCAGCAGGGGGCGTTAAAGACCACTAAGACACACTGCTCTGTATTGTCTTACCCACATTGAGGTTATGTGGGAACATTACAGTGGGGCTATTCAAGGCCAAACTAGGTTATTTCAGTGCACCAAAATAACCCAGAATGTACAGCAGTGAGAGCAGAGATCAGACAGTTGAGGAAGATAAGGTCAACGCTGCTTAATAATGTTTGGCCACTGACGCATACATAAGCATATTTTATCACACAAAGTGAAATATATTCATATGCAGAACTAATTTGTCTCATCGTGTATCAGAGTATTCTGTTATCGTACAGTGGCGTTGCCTCGTTTAACCCTGCTGCAGTTAATCTATTTTTCCTTCCTGTCTGCATCACAGAATGGTCAATGTGAGGTCTGCAGTGCTTTACTGAGCGTGTGATACTGGTTGGACGGCCTGTAGGATGTGAGTGACAGACACACACAAACACACACACCACGCACCTCACAGGGCCAGTGGTCATGAGTTTGCCTCACGGTGGATAATATGCACGCATCATGACGCAGAGGGCAGGCACAGTGTGTGTGTGTGACTCAGCAGTGTGTGTGTGATTCATGCTGCTGCTTCTAGTGATACTGCCCAACATGTAATTGAGGTAATCCTGTTCATTCAGAGCCTTTTGGAGAAAAACATTTGTCATTCGTGACTGTGGGAGAAAACATGTTTTGTTTTTAATTCACATTGTTAATTAAATGGTTTAATTCTTAAGCTGTGAGATAATGTTAATAATAAACTTGTGCAGTGTAGCTTAGCTGCTCAGTGATCACACAGCAAAAGCAATTCTTCAAATAAGTTTTGGCACATGACAGAATATCTTATTTATTCATCAGTCGTTTCTTGGCCAGCGTACTTTGATGCCAAGATGAAGCCCAATTAGTTAGAAATGTCCTATCTGTAGTTGAGATCTTTCAGAATCAGACCACCCTTGCAGAGGAAGAAGCGTATAACAAAACCAGCAAATGAGGAAGCATACTTTAATATAATTACTCTTTTGCCTGAATATTATGAGTCCGAAGTACTAATTTGCAGTCTGAAGGTCGGACTTAAATACACTTTGATAGTCTTTACATTTTAGAGAGGGAGTCTCAGGCTGATGAAATGTAAAAGTGTATTTTCCTCTGTGTGTACAGCCATTGATTGACTATCATACATATGCATTACATACACGATTCAGCTCATCTCAGTGTTTTAAATAGAAACAGTGGCGTAGATGATCAGATCGTTCAGCATCCCTGACGTCAGATACTACACACTATCAGTTGTGAATGAGCACATTGGCTCCAGGTCAATATGCGTTCATCTGTCTCTCACGACATGTTTGACGCAAGAGCAAATGTTCATTGTATGAGAGGTGCATTGAGAACAGATGAAACGTGTCCCTGCTGCCAAATGGGAAAATATAGAGGATGCATTGCATGATGATTTCGTTTTTGATCGAAGCGACGTTGAAACTTAAAGGGACAGTTCTCTTACTTGTAGTGCTGTTTATCTGTCTGTATTGTTTTGGTGTGAGGTGCAGAGTGTTGGAGATATCGGCCACAGAGATGTCTGCCTTTTCTCCAGTATAATGGAACTAGATGGCACTCAGCTTGTGGGGCTCAAAGCGCCAAAAAAAAATAAAAAAAAAAAACAACATTTGAAAAACATTACAACAATGTCTCTTTCCTCTTTCCAGATATCATGACCCAGTTACTCAAGATGATCCACAGACTCCAGCCTCATTCCCAACTTCTCAAATACCAATGCTTTGTCAGTAGCCCTCAGTGTCAGACATCAAGGCACCCGTTAGTGGCTGTATAGTGTGAGTGGGCAGAAGTTTGCTGCAGAGATCAGCCTCTCATTGGGCGGAATGAGCCACCCGCTGAAGTCCCGCCCTACCACCTCTGGTTGTGTAGCAGTTTTCAACCGTTTTCAACACGTCCTAACTTTTGCGGTGTTTGATCTTGCGGGGATGTAGCCATTTTTCTGCCATGGTTCGCATCCTGTAGGTGATATTTTTGTGGGCGTGTTACACCAAAACCTGTTTCCCCCCGGCAATATTTTTGCAAGCGCACCGTTGCTGTGGCACCGCCCAGAACGATTGTGATTGGTTGAAAGAAGTACAAGCAGCCAGGGTGTTTTTTTCCTCCAGTCTCAAAGTGAGAGTCGGCCCAGCCAGACCTTTCTTTTCTTGAGAAAGGTCTGGTGAGTGAGACTAGTGGCTGTATGACACATTGGGAGGTAGCATTTTTTGACACCCTGGGCATACAGTGGGCAGAAGGGGAGGTGGACGGGTGAAACAAACTCAAGACTTTCACCCAAGAGCCTGCTGTTTGTGTCCCGTGTGAAACCAAAATCAATCAAGTTATAGTATGCTAGTGATGTCTGTCACCTGACTTTATTTATTTCAACTCAAACCATGATGTTTTTTTCTAAACCTAATGACACACTTTTGTTACCTAAACCTAAGAAGTAAACCCAAAAATTAAGATTTTTACTCAGGTTCTAAGTATATTTTAAAAAGAGATTGTATGCATTTAACGGGCAGAAGCTGTACATTTCCTGTGAAAATAAAAGTTTATTTTGAAAAGACACAATGCATGTAACAAGCATAAACTAACACGCCATCCCTGAATGTCCAAAACTGATGCTTATTGGTACCTGTAGTGCGCCACATTTTAACACGTAGGCCGATTGAAAGTGTTCAGTCATTTTCCGTAACTGCTTATCCTGTTGGGAATCGTGGAGCCTATCCCAGCTGACATTGGGTGAGAGGCGGGGTACACCCTGGACAGGTCGCTAGGCTATCACAGGGCTGACACATAGAGACAGACAACCATTCACGCTCACATTCACACCTACAGACAATTTAGAGTCACCAGTTAACCTGCATGTCTTTGGACTGTGGGAGGAAGCTGGAGTACTTGGAGAAAACCCACGCTGACACTGGGAGAACATGCAAACTCCTTCTTGCTGTGAGGCGACAAGGCTAACCACTGCACCACCGTACCGCTGAGAACTAGTATTTTTCCTATTGAAATACACCCGGCAACTGTATCACTGTGCAGAAGGCAGCTGCATCTACTGCTAGCTCACCTAGCTCCACTGAGCTAGCTAACTTACAGCTCAGCTGAGGAGGACGCCATCAATGTTTGCATGAGCCTCTCGTCCATGAGTAGATGCACACTTCCTTTCGCGTGGTGATACGGTTGGTGGGTGTAGTTTGATAGAGAGAAAAATAGTTCCTACATGAAACTGCTCACAACAAGGTCTGTGGATTATCTTGAATTACGCCATGATTTCTGCAAAGAGACATTCTTTAAATTTTTTTTTTTTTTTTTTTTTTGGCACTTTGAGCACCACAAGCTGAGTGCCATATAGTTCCATTATATTTGACAGAAAGCAGACAGAGAGAAGGCCGATGTCTCCAACACTCTGCAACTCACACCAAAACAATCTATACTGATAAATAGCACTACAGGTGAAAGGAAAAATACGTTTTTGATTTTGGGTTGAGCTGTCCTTTCAACACTTGAAAAACCTGTTAAATATTTGAGACAAAAACTTTGTGATATTAATATTTGTGACAGCAGAGAAGACAGGTATATCAGCTCAGGATACATTTCAGACCCTCACATATTTGTGAATCCCTCTGCTACTGGTCGCCACTGGCTGGTTCTTCATTCTTCCCCGAGCAGAGAAAAGTGAGGAGGAGGTGGAGAAATAACAGGAGGAGGAATGAAAGGAGCAAGATAAAGGTGTATATATTTATCCTTTAGCTGAGTCACAAATCAAAGAAACAACTGGAGGAAAGCCAAAGCTTTAAAGGGATCACAAAGCTTACTTTATGCAAGAAGAAGCCCCGATTCTGATGTGCGGTTGCTGAGCTTACAGCACGTTTTCAAGTAAGATTTTAGTGATTTAATTGACTTTCATTGAGGATAAGAACAGACTATAAAAAGCTTAAACTCTAAGATCACTGAAATCACAAGCAACCAATAGCAGGAGTCGACACAAACCCTGGTAATATTCCCATGTCCACAAAGAGATAATGCAAGTTAAACACGCTTTTGTTCTGTTGTCAGAGAAACTACTTTGTTTGGCTGTTTTCGTAGCCCATAATTCTAATTAGGTGGAGCAGTTCACCCGGGCTACATCATGTTTTGGAGAACAGTGAGGGAAAACAGATGAAAACTAAAGCTGAGTTTCACCAAAGTATTTCTCAGCTCATTTGTTCTCCGTGCCTGATGGAAGGCTCTAAGTGGGAATCTATGTGTCATTGGGAAAGTGTACTCTTTCCAGCTCTAAAAAAAGTCCAGGAACACACTGTCAGCTTCTCCCAGCACATGGCTATGATTTGTTGGAGCACTCCCACTTTCCTAGGGAGAACATGAGTCGTGGTGTGCAGCAGCACATTGTGTGTCCCTTTACCCCTGCATGTTTTCCTGCAGGTGTGTGCGTGCAGTGTGTTGTGCCTCAGGGGGAACGTGCTCCGGTACAGCTGAGTGGGAGTGACTATGACCTAACCCGTCCCTTCTGTGTCCATATGAGGCTGAAAAGTCCCCGCCCCTCTCACTCTGGCCACGCACAGGCTGCAGCGAGCCTTGCGTGCATGTGTTTGTGTGTCAGTGAGAGTGCATGTTTCACACGTGTGACCACCGTGGAGGCGGCCGGAGCTCTAAGCTGCTTTGCGAAGGCTTAGGAGGGCAGCCGCTCGCTGGCTACTCAAAGGGCTGTGTTTGCTACATGCCTAGAGGGGGTGACGGCATAGCTGAGCACTGGAGCATGGCGCCCAGGGTTTCACATAACAATGCTGGGTCAGGGGCAGCCCACAGAGGCACTGCACTGAACTGTACGTGGTCACAAACACAGCTCTTGTTCAACAGTCAATGAAAGTGACAGCGTTAATCTGTCAATGGAACTCAACGTATTTATCTTTCCCTGCTTGATTAAGCAAGAAAGAGCTGCTTTTTATTGAGGAGGAATAGCTTTGACAGTGCATGCGATTAATTTGATGTATTTTAGTGATTTGCATGTGTTTAAATATTTGCTGCACCTCAGATCTGAAGTGTGAGTGCATGGGAAAGCAGGCTAAACTCTGCACTGACACAGTTTCTCCACTTACTTTAGTCCAGGATGATTAATTGTAGTGCAGATGTACTGTAGGGAAAAAAAAGGAAGCACACACACCCACACACACATTCAGTGCCTGTGGAGAGTGTGTGCTCCAGGACTTTATGTTCACTGCTGTTGATATCACGCACAAGCACACACACACTCCCTCCCTCCAGATTCAGTCCATGTTGAGAGCTGGAATATCAGGTTTCCTGCCTTTGTGCAGAGTTTGTACTCACAGCTTCACCTTTGTTCCTCCTCTGTCAGCACACAGCAGCACCGCATCAGGACACTCTGCCGCTCTCTGAGGATACACCAGCCCAACCGCTGGCAAACTCTGTCACCAGTGGTTTTAGGGTTGCCAGGAGATAATTATCATGGGGAGTTAAAACAGCCTTTGTATGCATTTGGATAATTGGTAGCAGAGGAGCAACAATGAATCCTAAAAGTGTTTAATGAGAATTTCTTGGTCAGCGCTGCCAGGCTTTTGCTGGCCAGATATTTTGTGCTTTGTGTGTGGTTCATTCATGGTTTCATTCTGTGAAAATGTACGATTGTTGTTTCTACGCATTCCCCTCTGCTGTGGAACCCCAGATGACCCTGCTGTGGCGCCAGTAGAGGCTGGGCACTGCGAAGGAGGAAGAGGAGGAGGAGGAAAGGGGAGGAGGGTACGGAGGGAGCGAAGTGAAGTATATGAGGATATTAGAGTAAATTTATGAAGCTGGAGAAAAGGCACATACTGCAGCGTGGCATGCAACACAAGAGAGAGAGAGAGGAAAGAGAGGGTGTATCTGCAAAGTTTCCTGCTAGTTTCTGAGGAATGAACTGCTCCCGTGTGTACGCTCGCCTTTATCTAATAAGCCAGTCCCGAAGTTATTTAATGCTTGCGAGTAATCGCCTGCAACAGAAAGAGGTTTGTGGTTTGACTGTGGGCCGCTGGAGCCGTGCCTTTTGAAATGTGATCCCGTGTATGTGAGACGTCACACAGCGCGGCTCCTGGAATGTCCTGCGTAGAGACAGAGCAAACTCAAACAGAGGCCAACTGTAATCTCTTATCTCTGGCTGTGACACTTTGTACTGCAGTACCGTCAAATGGGATCATATCTGCTGCGTTTATCTGAGAGAAGCCACAATATTGACGTCTCATAGCAGGAGTGAACTTATGCCAACCTACATTTAAAGAATATGCCATGAGAGTTTGTGACGACACCATCAGTGTATCTCTGTACTCATCAGTGTTGTACTTTAGATTAAAGTCAAGGGGGTATTTATGCTCAAGTTCCCAATCAAGATAAGTTAACTGATCATATGAAGCACTACTGATGTACGAACAGCTGTGTGCGCTTTGTAAACATATATATTCCCTACTGATGTCATCGGTTTTATCTCAGTGTAGGTTTGGAAACACATGTTTAACACACACTCTGGCTTACAAGGTGTTGGGTTTAAAGGATTTACTAGACAGGAAGAGTCTAACAAAAAGATGATTTACAATTCAGGAAGTGTCGGATCAAGTGTTCTTGGAGCTTGACCTCAATATAGACCAAATCACAATGTTTGTTTTATAATAACTTCCAGATAGAAACCTCCCGCATCATGTACATAAAATGAAACAGTGCTGCCTCAACTTGTTAGTTTTATCCACATAAAAAAAAAGGCTCACCTAAAATAATCAAGCTCGGTTTGCCTTGCTGTCACACAGTCCTTTGCGACTCAGGATTTAAGCCGCTATCATAAAGCCACCAGACTCCTTTGACAAAAACTGTACCTACTTCTGGGGTTGTTGGTCTACTGCTGCCTTGATTG